AAAAAAAAAAAAAAGAACAAGAAGAACAGCGCACCCTACGCACACACACAAAGGAAGGGAAAGGACGGACATCGGCTAAAGACGCCGCAGCGCTACAGCAAACCGAGGAAAGAAACAGGGATCCACATCAGCCGTAGAAGCAACCCCACAAACGAAAACACAAAAAACAACATCAACAGCAACACACATCAGCCAAATCACCAAAGCAAGAGAATAAAGAGTCGAAGGGGTCACCGGATTATATATATACGCCCAGATACAGCGTGAAATATAGCAACATGTGCGACTTCGACTACGAAAAGCTCTTCCGTACCAATCAGGACGACGACGCCGACCTCTTCCGCCTCACGGAGGACATTAAGCGGCAGATGATTGGCATGGACGACGACGACGACGACGATGACAATGTAGAAGCGAAGTCATCGTCCGCCCCGCCTCCGCCTCTGCCTGTCGTGGGCTTCGCACCCAACGTAGGGGCCAGCGACGTCAGTGGTGTCAACAACAACGATTCACAGCTGCGGCTGATGGCAAAGGACCCCAGATCAACAGCAGCGCCCGCGCCGCCCAAAGGACCTGCGCCGCCACGCACGGGCGAGCCGCTCGAAGTACACAGTTTCTCCAGCAGCCACTCGCGTGGCCATCCGCAGTTGACGTCAAGCGGGCAACAAACCCCCACACAGACGTCAAATGAAGGCTCCATGCCCAACGTCGCTCCCATACCCTCATCGCAGGCGCAGCTCGGAGAGCACGCGAGCCAACGGGCGTCGCCACCAATGCTGCCTGACACAAGCGCCAAGCCGCTGCCGCCGTACTCGCACCAGGAGGAGTGTCCACCACCGTACGAGTGGGCCGGCAGCGCCCCGGCAAAGCAGCCACACGGTGCGCCACCGATGCCGCAGCACCTGCAAATGTCACCCCAGCAGTTTTCACGTGCGGTGCCGGTGATGCAGCCGCCGCCATCAGTGCCGTACGCAGTCTACGCCTCGAATGCACAGATGATGCCTGCGGGCACCTTCCCTGCAGGTGTGCAGGCGCAGCCAGCAGTGGTACAGCAGCAGCAGAAGCAACCCATACCCAACGGGTCGTTGCTGCAGACCCTCAACATGGGCCAGCTGCCGTCAGCTCTGCCACCGCCACCGCCACCGCCGCCGCATCCGTCACAGACTTCAGTGACACCGCAACAGCAGCCGCAGGCACAGGTAGCAGGCGGTGTGCCACCTGGATTTGTACAGGTATTGTTGCCCGTTCGGGCCCCTGATGGATCTACAGGATATCAACTGGCGATGATGCCTGCCCAACAAATCAACCAGGGTGTCAACGGCTTTGCTGCGCAGGTGGTTCAGGCCCCACAGGAGCAACAGCAACGACAACAGCAACAACAAGCGATGATGCAATACGTCTGGCAGCAACAACAACAACAGCAGCAGCAACAACAGCAACAACAACAGCAACAGCAGCAGCAACAACAACAGCAGCAGCAGCAACAACGACAACAACAGGAACAACAACAGCAGAAACACCACACTCAACAGCTGCAGCAAGGCTCACAGTCGCCACAGTTTATGGCGCCACAATACGCTAACTTTGCTGCCGCGACACCACAGCGTTTTGCCATTGTTGCTCCTAACGGCCAGCAACAGTACGTCATGGCGATGACTTTGGGCCAGCTTCAGCAGGTTCAACAGCAGCAGCAGCTTCAACAGCAGGCCAACCAGAAGCAAATTCAACAGCCAGTTTTGCAGCAGCAGCTCCAGCAGCAGCCACAACAAACAGCGCGGCCCATGTATCTCGCTGGCCAGCAGCCGCAGCAGATGTCTGTTGCCTCGATGCTGCCCTCCGTTGTGCCGCCCGGATTTCGTTTCAACTAGCGTCATGCCTTGAAAACGCCGTATGAAAGATCATGTACTCTGACGATGCTAGAATGACCGGTGGTTCTTTCTCTGATATGCTATCCTTGAAGGGACATTAAGGTGAACGAACCCCCCGCCCCCCCCACGAAAAAAAAAAGAGAAAAACGAATTGAAAGGGTGTGTGTAAGGTGCTGCATCTTGCTTCGCTCACGTGAGGCGAATTACAACGCTGTAGACCAGGTGAGTATGCCGGACGAAGCCGGAATTGCACGCAACAAGGAGTTGCCGGCGTTTGTGACGTGCTCCTTTCATCGTGTCACCCCTCAAATAGTGCTCCTTCTGTGCGTACACATATATGTGTGGTGCGGAGTGTGTGCCGCAGCAGGAGGTACCCGTGAGAGTATACGAAAGAAAAACTGAAGAGACGCTGCGGGCTCAAGTGAGCTGCACGTCGCATGCACAACGGGTAAAGAAGGGTGGAGGAGGTGGGGTGTGTGTGTGTGAGAAGACGAGAGTGGAGGAAAGGAGGAAAAAAAAAAATACACACAAAAACAAAAAGTGCTCACAATGAGAGCGATGATTAAAAATGCAGAATAAATGTTGAGGATTCGCGCGACTCAGACAGACCCCCCCNACCACCAACAACAACAACAGCCCTACCACTGTTGCCACCACTGCTGCGCAGTCCTTCTGTGGGTGTACAATGCCAGCAGAAAGCGAAGTCGTGTGAGCAAGGTGACGAGAGAAGTAAAGCGAGCAATGAAATGGAATGAAGGGAGCCAATAAGACGCGCGTTGTGCACAATCAAGCACATAAAATGAGAATGTGGGAAGCGAGATTCTAGAGCGTACGAAATAAAGACACGCGTCTGCACAGCAGCCGAAATAAAACGACAAAGACCAAATACGAAAAAGAGAGATAGTCGTCTTGCCAATTGAAAAGGTTAAAGGAATTTTTGTCACCAGAGAACAAGGATGAGTGTGTCGCCTCGTCCAAAACCAAAGCAAAAACAAAAAAAAAAGGCAAAACAAAAAAACAAATGGACTGGCGTGTGTGCCCTCTGCAAGGTAGAGAACACGTGATGATAGGCAGGAGGAAGGCAGTTCGGGGGCGTGGGTGTGGGTGTGCATGTGCGTGTGTGCCCGCGGGCGAGTCTGGCGTGCGGCTCCCCTCCCCCCCCCGTTGTGCCGTC